CCTGCTCCTTGTCCCCTGACTGCCCCCCTAGGACCCTACCCCCTACCTGTCCCCTGACTGCCCCGACCCTTATCCACAGCCCTGCCCCCTCAGACAGGCCCCCGGGGCTCCCTGCCCCCTGACAGGACCCCAGAACTCCCGACCCATACAACCCCCCATGCTTCCTGCCTGCCCTAACCCCCTCCAGAGACCCCCCACCCTAACTGCTCCCCCAGGACATTCCTTGCTCCCTGTCCCCTGACTGCCCTGACTCCTATCCACCCCCCGCCACCTGACAGACCCCGGGACTCCCATGCCCCATCCAACCTCCCCTGCTCCCTGATTGCCCCCTCTAGAGGCCCCCCACCCCTAACCACTCCCCTCGGGATCCCACCCCCTATCCAACCCACCCTGCTCCCTGTCCCCTGACTGCCCTCACCCCTTATCCATCCCCCCGCCCCCCGGCTCCGGACCCCTTACCATTAGGCTCCTAGCAGCATGTTCTGCTCCGTGCATGGGTGGCAGGTTTGTAGAAATTTTGGTGGTGCACAGAACCCGCCCCCCCCAACTCCGCCCCCCAACTGCCTAAGGCTCTGGGAGGGAGTTTGGGTGGAGGGAGGAGGTCTGGGGTGCAGGTCCTGGGCTGGGATTAGGGTGCAGGAGGGGTGCAGGGTGCAGCCTCTGGGATGAAGTTTGGGTGGGGGAGGGGGTCTGGGGTGCAGGCTCTGGGATGGAGTTTGGCTGCTGGGTGCAGGCTCTGGGCTGGGGCAGGGGGTGGGTGTGCAGGAGGGGGTGAGGGATGCAGGCTCTGGGACAGAGTTTGGGTGCAGGCTCTGGGCTGGGGGCATAGGAGGGGGTGAGGGGTGCAGGCTCTGGGAGGGAGTTTGGGGTCTGGAAGGGGTGTGTGGGAAGGGGAGAGGGTGCATGCTCTGGGAGGGGGTTTGGGGATAGGAGGGGGTGCAGGGGTGAGGGCTGTGGGGCTGAGGATGAAGGGTTCATGATGCAGGAGGGGTCTGAGGGCTGGGGCAGAGGATTAGGGTGCGGGGGGATGAGGGCTCTGGCTCTGGCTTGGGGATGAGGGGTTCACGATGCAGGAGGGGGCTCAGGGCTGGGGCAGAGGATTAGGGTGCGGGGGGAAGAGGGCTCTGGCTGGGCCTGAAGGTGAGGGGTTTGGGGTGTGGGAGGGGGCTCAGGGCTAGGCCAGAGGGTTGAGGTGTGGCGTGAAGGCTGTGGGGCTGAAGATGAGGGGTTCATGATGCAGGAGGGGGCTCAGGGCGGGGGCAGAGGATTAGGGTGCAGTGGGATGAGGGGTTCATGATTCAGGAGGGGATCAGGGCTTGGGCAGATGATTAGGGTGCAGGGGGATTGGGGCTGGGGCTGAGGGGTTTGGGGCGTTGGAGAGGCTCAGAGCTAGGGCGGAAGGGCAGGGTAAGGGCAGCCTGCCCTGCCATTAGGGGATTGGGGGCACTAGGACCCTGGGGCAGCAGACAGCAGGCACACCAGCAGCACAAGCAGGCATGGGAGAGGTGCGCGCTGCTTTCTTCCAGGCAGGGACGCGGCGGGGTGGGGGGGAGCCCCATGTGGGGGGGCAGGCGGGGGCCGGGGGAGAGACCCAGCTCCAGATATTGGTGGAGCAGCAGAGCCCCCAGCCCTGAATATTCCTGGAGCCTGGCTCCAGGAGAGAGGGGAGGGGCCAGCGGCTTGCTGCGCCGGGGAGAGTGGAGCCATTTGCCCACCCCTGCATTAGGGTGTGCCTGGGCACACCCGGCATACCCCGTGTGCACGCCTGTGCTCCCTACCTCCAGACTGGGGGTTTAGGCTTGCAGTCCCTCTGCAACTCACTGTGACATAATTTCCCCTGTCTGTCCAGCAGTTGTGGTTAAATTTTCTCCAGGGGCTACAACAGTGTATACCAACCAGCCTTCACAAAGCAAAATACATTTATTGGTAGAACAAAAGCATTAAAGAGAAAACGTACAAAAAATACAATAAAAGTTCCTATACACATGTTAAAAGCTTATCAGAGGTCACCCATCAGCCTTATGGGGCCCAGGTAAGCCAAGGACCTTCCAACTTTTCTGCAAAGGTTGTTGGAGCCCTCCTTGGACAAAATGTCCTTTTCATTTTCTGAATCATAAAGAAGGTGTGGTGTCAGTTTAAACACAGCCTTTTTATACTAAAAGCCCTTTCTTTGTCTGTTGGTCTGTGGAACACCCACCTTGACCATGTACATGCAAACCACACCAGAGGGAGATAACTCTCTAGAGTTGTTTACAGTTTCAGCAACTATCCTTAATCACCCCCACTATTTTTAGCTCCTGGAGGAGCAGTGGTAACCCTCCCCTGCTGCAGTTGCAAACAATCCCTGGCCCAAGATGTTACATTAAACCATTCATAAACTTAAGACGGTATGGTCCCCCAAAGATACTGCATATGGTTGCAGTATCTGTGAGAGTGACATCAAAGTGAGAGGAAAATACCTTACTTAAATATTTTATGCATTTTTCCTGTTTGGAAATATGTCAGCTATTTAAATACCATGGTGTTGGATGCAGTAGAAATGGAAAGACAGAGCCAAGTGCTGTCCCAGCAGAGACATAAATAAAGTTATTAGAGAGACAAGGTGAGTGAGGTAATATCTTTTATTGAACCAACTTCTGTTGCTGAGAGAGGCAAGCTTTCAAGCTCACACAGAGCTCTTTTTCAGCCCAGACCTTGAAAGCTGCTCTGTTTCACCAACAGAAGTTGGTCTAATAATAGATGTTATCTCATCCACCTTCTCTCTCTAATATCCTGGGGACAACCCAGCTACAACAACACTGCATAAAGAAAGATAGGTAACTAGCTCAGCTCTTTGCTAACACAGCTGGTATTACGCGTGGAAGGTTGTAAAGGTACTTCCTGTAGAAAGCCTTATATTGTTGATTTGATTCTAGCTTGAAGGAGAATTGAGGTTTTTTGCATTCAGATCCTGGTAACAGATACGATAACAGGAACAATATAAGAACCTGAACAGAATAGTTAGAAACATATAGAAAATTACATGTGCATGCATCCTCCACGGAGAGGCCCGAGGGAAGATTCTAGCTAATTCTACAGTGAAGCAGAGAGAAAATTTAGGAATAAAATTGCCTTCATTACTCTCATAAAGTTTCTTCTTTGGTATAAGAAGACAGTGGTTGTTTCTGTAATTCAGCCTGTGATCATGAATAGATGACAAAGTTGTAAAAAAGCCTGACCCCTGTTTGTGCTATCATGGTAGTCAATGGAATTTCTCCAGAATTTCTCACTGGTGTACATGAAATCAGAATCTGGCCCAGTGTGTGCATGTTGAGCTATAAACATGTGGACACTCCAGTTACCCTATTACCACCTCTATCATATACTAGCCAGGTTAGTGTTTACATTTTTATGAACGTACCATCTTCTATCTAGACATAGTAACATGGTATCCAGTACTTGCACTTATCTAATTTCCTTTGGTATTGACATCAGACACTGTCTCTGGACTTACACTGCATTTCCCATGAGATCATAGGAACAGTATTAACTCATTTCAAGGGAATAAGGGAAGTTTAACACTGTGTAAAAGCATATATGAAGAGAAATAGCAGAAGCACAGGTTCAGTAGCTACTTGACAGCAATTTGTAAATGGATCAAAAGTTTTTATTGAAAGCATCGAATGAGGTCAGCCCACTTTAAAGACCAACCCCCTGCAATTTCATTATTTTAGAAACAACGGGCCCAATTCACAGTTGTTATACACCTTTAGTCATTTACATCAGAGCAAAGTGGATATAAACTGCTATCAGATCCAAACAGTAGCATTTTAAACCCAATTTGCACCAGTGTAAAATATTGCATATGGTATAGGCAATGGTGAATCAGGTCCACAGATTGCTTTTGCCTGGAGCTTGGCAAAAGGGCGTTTGAAACGGACTCTATTCAAAACCACTATTGTTTTCCCATTCTGTTCTTCAGAAGGATGCTCCCATTCTATTGGAGCTCCTGAATTTCTTTTTCTTTACTGTTGTTAGGGTTTCTGAAAGCCTAACTCCTGTATATAATACCTTGAGGTAGCTATTGATCCATGAGATCATCAAATATGTTGTATAGTATTTCCCTTCCTTTAAGGAAGGTAATTTTGAGGGAATTGAAAAGTTGTTATATTTGATACATTTGCTTTAAAACTGACTTGTTAAAATCATTTTTGGAAAGAAGAATAAGAATCTGTGTTTTTAGCATGTATCAATTTTCTGCCTGGAGGGTTTTGTAACTGACAAGGTATCAATGCCTAACACATATTAAATAAAATATAAAACATAGAGTCAGCCTTAACTACAGCAGTGCCATGTTAAGGGAAGACTTCTTTTTTCTCTCACATTAGAGCGATACTTAAGGGCCTCACAAAACTTCCTCTGACTTCAGTGGAAGCAAGACGGGGCTTGTAATCTCTACAGTTAAAGAAAAATTATGCCCCTTTTCCTCAGATGGAAAGTCAAAAAGTTTGAGAGGTAAGAAGCCCATGTCTTTACAAATTAAGAGTAAGGCGTATTTTAAGGGTGACCTCCTGGCCCTATTTAATGCATTGTGACTTTTGCCACTGACTGCAATGGGGCCAGCATTTTACCCTAAAGGTAAAATTACTCCAAGTGTTACAAATGTCAATACAGCCATGTGAATTACTTCTACTGAGGAAAGGACGTTTATTTAATATTTATCCCTATTTAGGAGAATATTTATTATTTTTCTTTCAGAAACTATCCTATTCACCTTGCTGCCATCTTTCAAATCTGTCTTAGAAACTTACCTCTTTCTGTCATCTTTGCACCATTATCCATTATCAGTTGCTATAGAGCCTCGCACTGACATCCTCTCATTTAGCTCATGCTACAGTAAAGCTGTAACTAACAAGACTCAGGCCAGACCTTCTGCTCAGAACAAAAATGCATCAACTAAAATATTTTGTAAATATTTATAGCAAAAATGCTCTTTTCCTTCTCTTTCTTTCATGTTTAAGAAAATTGGCTCTGAAATATCATCCTGACAAGAATCCTGACAATCCAGAGGCTGCTGAAAAATTTAAAGAGATCAACAATGCTCATGCGATACTGACTGACCTGTCCAAGAGAAACATATACGATAAGTATGGATCATTAGGGCTATATGTGGCAGAACAATTTGGAGAAGAAAATGTTAATGCATACTTCATGCTTTCAAGCTGGTGGGCAAAGGTGAGTGGGTAAAATAAAATCCTCTATTCTCTTTTTTAAAATGTACTGAGCAAGCTAGGAAATCATGCAGTCTTCTAACTTAGTTTGGCCTTGGTTCTGCAAAGTGTTCCATGTGAATGGACCTTTACACTCATGTGGAGTCCCATGGGAGTTCATGGGGCTCTGCATGGGACTAGGAGTCCCCCGATGTGAAACAATTTTGAGGATCAGGGCCTTAAGTCATAGCAGCTTTATTAAACAATGGCATGTCTTGAATGATTAGAAACTCGCAAAAATATAATTAAGCACCTCTCCAGAAAAGTGATAATGAAGGATTTTTCCTTTAATTTACTAGATAATTAAATACACTTCATGTCTGGTAACACTTAGAGGCATAAATTATATTTGAAACTGGAGCTCCAGGTTAATTTTGATTTTCTTTTCAGTAATGACTAAATAAAAATGACTCATTGCTCAAAAATGAGAAGTCCTACTTGTGTGACAACCAGCTAATAAGTTACCGTACAAATTTAGCCATGTTCTTTGCTATATATAGCACACAGCATACGTAAGCAATAATAATACATAACACAGTGTGTGATTATGGTGTCATATAGGTGCACCTTGGGTACATTGTGAGCGGGCAGGGGAAAGGAAGTGGAAGAAGAGGTGAGAACTGCGGAGTGGAGGAAGAAAGTAGGAAAGGGAGAGCATGATATCTCAAGTCAGCAAATTGAACGAGGAAAAACCCCTGGTGGGGATTCTGATGACATAAGAGCTCGGTTCATTTGGTTTATTATGTAACTGTAATCCTTTGCTATTTATGTATATATTGCAAACCCTAGCATTGCAATCAGTGTGTCAGTGAATGTAACAAGCCTATGACATCACAAATGTGGAAAATCCCACACTTTGGATTTTATTCTTAATGCTATTTCCAGCAACAAAATGTTGGGGCAGCAAAGAGTCCATTGGAATAAATAGAAAAAATATCTTTATGTGAATCAAATACACTGTGATGACAGGAGAAATGACAGATCTGATTTAGGAACATGGGAATCTCCATCCTGGATCAGACTAGTGGTCCATCTAGCTCAGTATCCTGTCTCCAACAGTGGTCAGTGCAAGGTCAGTTCCATTTGTCTGGGAAAGCATACTTCATATACTACTTCGGGTGGGAATAGAAGCAGCTCAAATACAAATTAATGGACTACATTTTCAAAACTGGGCAGCTAAATCATATTGGCAAAATTTGTATCCACACCAGCAAAAACTGAAGATGGACGTGAACCACATCTCCATTCTGAACTCCCAAAACTTTACAGCTGGCCCCTATTTCTCTGGCAGCAAATTTGCACCAGCTGTGGCTGCTGACTCCTGCTGTGTCCTGACTTCCTTCACTATTGATTGCTTCTACTACTGCCACCTGCTGTGTCAATCTTCCTTCTCTTTGCTCTCAGCTACCCTCTCCTCAGCCTCCTTGTCCCCATCTCTGAGCACAGGGAGTCATTGGCTAAGAAGGGAGAGAAGAGAAGAGACACTGATAAATCCGCTAGCAGCAGCATCAGATGAGCCACTCCCTTGACTCAGATTACGTGAATATGGCTGTGAAATGGATGCGGGTATGAGAATAGGAACAGAGACAACAGCAGCAACAGCAACCTTGACCAACAAGAAGAGTAGAGGAGAGCATAGGGTGCAGCTGAAAAGTCTTATAGGCTGTATGAAGGCAGGGAGAGCAATTGCTGGGTTTGTTTTGGGCTGCTATGTTCTGGAGGTATGGAAGGATTTGTTATGGAGCCTGTGTAAAATTCATTACATTGCATATTGCAGAACCTCCTATGAAAAATGTACCACAGAAATCTGAGGTACTTATGTATCATCCCTCCCAGATTGTCACAGGGTGGTCTCTCCATTGCCACTAAACCAAAGTTTTCCCATTTCCACAGTATAAGCAGGTCAACAAAGGCTCCTCTCAAGTTGAGTCCAGCCATTTTCCCAAGTGCCTAGCCATACCTTTCCTCTTCCACCTCTTATACCCAATAAGCTAGGCCCTGTAGTGAATGAGTCTATTTCGGGCCTTATACTGCCACTTATTGCCATAGTATCTGTCTCAGTGGCATCTGATCCCCAGTCTGATTCATACTTCTGTAAAGCCAACAGGAAAACAAGTTAGTGGGCCACAGTTCTTGCTGGTTATACTCCTCCTATACTTCTCAGGGCCCTGATAGGCAGTGTATCCCATCATACTCACACACACTCAGAAGATACTAAGTGGTGGCACAAGTCATTAAATGTAAGGAAATGAAAATTGAAGGTGAAGTGCAAATCAAAAATGACTGTTGAGTTAAGCCCAGAATTCTCTGAAGGCTTAACCAAACTGGGATAGTAGGGCCATTTTACACAGAAAAAAGCTTTAACTAATATTTCATAATTCCTTTTTTTCCCATAAGGGCTTGTATATACACAGTGATTGTGCCACTTTAACTACATCAGGTTGAAATCAGTATAGTTAAAGTGGTACAACTCCCTAGTGTAGACACAATTATACTAGTATAAAGGTGTTTATACTGATATATCTTATTCCCATAAATTTAGGGAAATAATCTATGCCATTTTAAAGAACCTTTATATGGGTATAACTGCATTCACACTTGGGAGTGTGTGTACCAATTTATCTATTTTTCAGTAAAAGTCACACCCTAACCCAAATAGTTAAACCAGTACAAAATCTAGGTTTGCTGTGAAAGAAGGCACAGCATTCTGAAATAACTTCAACTCAGCATACATCTGGCCAGTCTTTTGAAAACATCTGAGGTATTTGTGCGCTTAACCTGGTACAGGTATTACCATTGGCCTTGAGCCTCAACACTTGCTCAGATGGTTAACTTTAAACATGTGAATCATTCCCCTGACTTCAAATGGGCCATAATTGCACCCATGCTAACATTTCATCATTTAATTCACATAGTCACTTCCATACTATTAACCTGATACCTATCCTCACACATATCACAATCCTGCGATGGATTTGGGGTGGTGGAGGGGAGATTGTTTTATTATTAATTAATATTATTATCAAGCCGTATATTTTATTTTTGAATACATTAAACTATTGGTGAGAGCACTTTTTCTGAGTTAAGCTGTACGTGTTAAATCATTCTTGACAGTGGCCTTTTAACTATAATCTATTCTAAGGGGTAAATTGAGCCTCCTTGATGAAAGCAGATTTGTGCCTGAAGGCCATAGAATTTGCACTGACCAAGGAAGCCTTTTTCTCCTCTACATACACCTGAGTAACTTCACTTGATTTATCCCAGTATGTGCAAGAGGAAAATTAAATGTTTCATCTTAGCCACTCCAGCCTTTGGACTCCTTATTTTGTTTCTTTTTTCTCATATACTTGGCTATTATCAACACTCTATCAATGAATAAGAATTTACACAGAAATCTACTGTAATGAACCATTTTTAAGGGAGGTGGGGGTTTTGCACTATGTTTGGAATTTCTGGAAGGCCTCACTCAGCACTCATAACTGGGGCCAGATTTGCAAGAGCCCAGCATATTGGGTGCATGTTGGGTGCTGAACCCTTGAAAATCTAGCCATAAATGTCATAATGACAGAGGGTGGGTGGGGTGGTGAGTGGTCTGGAAATCTCCCCATATTTAGGTTTTTGAGTGGCAGCTAAACTCTTGACAATCTGGCTCCGATTGTGGGTGTGGAGCACTTTACTCCTGGGGGAATTCTACACCACTGCATGTGCGCAGAATTCATGTCCCCCACAGATTTCTTCACTTCCCCCACAGAAAAATGATTTTCTGACAGGGAAGCAAAGGGAAGCTGCAAGAGCAGTTATGCACCACTCCCTAGCTACGCAGATACATTATTTCAGGCACCCAGAGCAGCCATCGGAGAGGTAAATCACCACAGGGCTGGGGACACCCCAGGTAGTGACTCCTACCCTGAGCTGGGATCAGCTGCTAGTTCCGGCTGGGCTGGAGATGGTGGAGGATGGGATTTCCTCTTCCCCTGCAAGGAGTGGTTTGGGCTGTGTCAGACCCACCCCCAGAAACCTCCCCCAGTTGCAGGAAGCTCAGCATCATCCCCTGCTTCCTGCCCCCATCGATCCTCAGCTACAGGGGGAGGGGTCACTGTATGGGGAGTTGCTCCCCCATCCACCCAACCCCTATGCATCTGAACCTCCCATACCCAGACACCCCACCAAGCCTCTCCCCGTACACCCAGAACCCCCCTAGCCTTTCATACTGAAACTCCACCCCACTGAACCTCAACCCCTGTCTCTGGAGCCCCAACCCTGCACCCAGACTACCTCCCACTAAACTCCCTGCACTCAAACCCCATCCTGATGAGCCCCACCCTCCAGCACCACCCTGAGCCCCCACATCCAGACCCTCATGCCACTGACCCCCAACTAGCTGCACCCAGCCCCCCAGCCCACCAAGTCCCACTTTCCCAGCACCTAGACCCCCTGCTGAGACCCCCCACACCCAGACCTCTCTGCTGAGCCCCAACCATTTTCACCTGGAAGCCCCTGCAGAGTCCCATTGCCCCTGCAACCCTCTTTGCATGCAGATCCCCCCACACTTAGACCCCCCACTGATCTGCCTGCACCCAGATTGTTCAACACAGAATCCTCTCACCCCACACCCGGATCCTCCCACACTGAGTCCTTCCACACTTGGATCCTGCGTGGTTGAGCCTGCCTGCCCCACATCTGGTGCACCTGGTGCAGAGGGGCAGGGCCCCAGGGTGTTTCTGGGGTAGGCCCAGACCTTGTGCTGTGTCAGGGTTGGGTGCAGCCTCACCACTGAGTCCGTGTCCCGGGGGTGGGGCTGGGGAGATTGCAGGGTGATTTTCTACCTTCGTACAACCAGTGGCCTGTGCTTCCCACTTCCAAGCTGGAGCCTCTGCATTTATTTATTGACAAATAAAGCTTGCAGAATTTTAAAATATTGTGCACAGAATTTTTAATTTTTTGGTGCAGAATGCCCTCAGGAGTGGCACACGCAAATCTGGCCCCGAGCTCTTTTGAAAAACTGACACTATGTGCCTTAAGCAACAAAGAGTCCTGTGGCACCTTAAAGACTAACAGACGTATTGGAGCATAAGCTTTCGTGGGTGAAAGCCCACTTCGTCAGTCACATGTGTCTGATGAAGTGGGCATTCACCCACGAAAGCTTATGCTCCAATACGTCTGTTAGTCTTTAAGGTGCCACAGGACTCTTTGTTGCTTTTTACAGATCCAGACTAACACGGCTACCCCTCTCATACTTGACACTATGTGCCTTATGTCTGTTACAAACTGTCATTAATTAAAGGAAGTTCATGTGGTAATAGGGGTTTCTCCCCCATTTTATCTAGGCCCTGTTTGCAGTTTGTGGCCTCTTGACAGGCTGCTACTTTTGCTGCTGCCTGTGCTGCTGTTTCAATTGCTGTTGTGGACAGTGTAAACCCAAGCCACCAGGAGGGGAAGAACATGAGTTCTGCATGTCTCCTGAGGATTTGGAAGAGCAAATTAAGACAGACATGGAACAAGGTACTGATTATAGAGACTTAGTGTATAGTGAAAATATACAAAACCATTAAAAAAGCTATTGATCAAGTCCTCTGCTGGTGTTAACTGGTGTAGCTCCATTGATGTCAATGGAGATATGCTGATTTACAGCTGCAGAGTATCTGGTCCTACAAATCTTCTATATGGCAACTAAGCCAAAAGCAAAGTACAGCAGAACCTCAGAGTTATGAACACCACCGTTATGAACTGATCGGTCAACCACACACTTCATTTGGAACCAGAAATATGCAATCAGGAAACTGCAGAGGCAACAAAACAAATACAGTACAGTACTGTGTTAAAAGTAAACTACTAAAAAAGGGAAAGTTTAAAAAAAGATTTGACAAGGTGAAGAAACTGTTTCTTTTCTTGTTTCATTTAAATTAAGATAGTCAAAAGCAGCATTTTTCTTCTGCATAGTGAAGCTTCAAAGCTGTATTAAATCAATATTCAGTTGTACACTTTTGAAAGAACAACCATAACATTTTGTTCAGAGTTACGAACATTTCAGAGTTATGAACAACTTCCATTTCCGAGGTGTTCATAACCCCGAGTTTCTACTGTATATTGCCTATAGAAATGGCAGTTTCTTTGGATCTGTTATTGTCTTGATTACGCAGAAGTGTTGCAGCAGTATCAGTCCCAGCATACTGCAGACACAAGGTGGGTGAGGTCATATATTTTATTGGACCTGCTTCTGTTAGTGAGAGAGACAAGCTTTTGAGTTTACATAGAGCTCTTCTTCGGAATGGAATTGATTAGACACATGAACATTAAAGATCCCGTGACACCTTGTGTAGGAGAGGAGATTTGCTATATTGTGAATGGCCTATATATCCTATTTCACCCTTATGTCACATGCTGTCCCTGATCTGCTGCTTTCCCCCAAGAGCTATCTGAATGCCAGTGGGCTTGATTGTGTAACCTTTATTTATGGAAACAGTCCTATTGACTTTGATGGGTCTACTCACTTGAGAAAGGGCTGCAAGATAAGGCTTATTCTTTTAAAGTGCTTTGGATCTTTTGTGGTAAGGGTTATAAAAGTATTTTCATTATACCTAGAACCACCATGTCAAAGCGCACACCTGCCCTGTAGCACTCCCTTCTGGCCAATTGTGGCTCTGCAGTAGCGCTGCCTCCATTTTTCCTTAACTCATTCTCCTTTTAAAAAGTCCACACAGGCCAGATAGTCAAAAAATTCCTCTTCCTGGGGTCCAAGTTATTTACAACACAGTGTTTCAAAAGAAAACTCGAACTTTCAAAATCCCAGAATTGGGCCTACCCCCCTCCCCCAAGAGGGTCTTTCCACACTTTAACAATTCATTTATTTTGCTCTATCACACTGATGTCTGACATTACTGAGATACCCGTTTCCCGTTTATTCAGAATGTTCACTAATTTGCCAGTTTTAAAAATGAATAAAACATAGATTTGGATTTTGTAAATCCAGATTTCACAGGGAGGGCCTGAAATAAACTAGGACTTTTCCAGGTCTCTTATCCCTCTTGTCACTTTTGTTACACTTTTCATAAATCAAAAGCAACAGTATAATTTCAGTCAGAACTGCCTTTATTTTATATTAACAAAGCAAGAACAACAACAAAAATCAAGAACAAAAGTAAGGTCTCCACGTGACAGGACAATGAATGCATTTCCTCTGCATCTGAACACAAATAGCATCTGCCTCCCTTTAAATTTGTACTTCAAAGAAAACAAGTGATAACAGACCCAAGCTGCACACACAAGTTGTATGAATGCTGGTTGAAAAGATGTAACTGAATGAAAATGGCATAGATTGGTACTAGCATTGGCTCTTCAAGCAGACAATTCAAACTTAATTGTCCTAGATAGGCAGGTTCAGACTTTTCTGCACCCCCATAGGTTTATGTAAGCTAGCTTCTAGAGAAAGGTTCCATCAGGTAATTCAGAAAACAAATGTAAATTCTCCTGCAGCAGGCTGCTTTGGAAGAGAAATCCACATTTTGAGCCAAATTCCTTATAGGTCGCCTGCCCACAGTGGGATCACTCTCTCTAGTAATTAATCTCTTTGTCTCTCACTGTTCTCAGCATAAATAGCATTATTCAAAATTTTGCTACAAGGTCAAAATGTAGATCCTCAACCCAAAGTCAAAGTTTAACTAAATAATTTATTGTCGTGTTTTGTACATAATAAGTCATTTATTTTCCAAAGAGCTCAATATGCAAAAAAATACATGATTCTTGGTTTACTTCATGATATCTATCTCTGAGTACTGTGCACATTATCAGCCACATTATCACCACACCCAGCAGTTCCTGTTGCTTTCAAAGGGAGCGCTAGGTGCTGAGTAGAGCTGTGTGAGAACTGGAATTTCTGTGTCACAGGAAATTCCATGATTTTGAAAATTGTTTGTGTTGCAAAAATGTCAAATTTTGAAATTTCCAACATTTAGTTTTGATAAAATCAAAATGATTTGTTTGGATTTTGACTTTATCTTTTGTTGTTTTTTTATAATATACAATATATTTCTAAAGGAAAAATCGAAACATTCCATTCTGAGAATGTGGGAATTAAATGAATTTTTTTTCCCATTGACGTCCCACAGAAGGTTTGGTTTTGACAAAACAGCATTTTCTGATGAAAATTTTCAAATAGCTCTAGTGGTGAGCTACTTTGAACACCTGCCCCAGTGGGATGAATCTTGCAATCTTTACTCCTATGAGTAGTCTAGCAAAAGAACTAAAGAAACTTATCCATGAATAAGGTTTGCAGGACCTGCCCTTTACTCTTATTATAGTCAAGAGACTGATTTGTTTCCACTAGCAGAAGTTCTAATAACTAGGGACCCAATCCTGCTTCCACTGAAATTAATGATAGTTTTGCGTTGATTATTACAACATTGGACCAGTTTCTAAATGTTTTTATGTAACCATTATGCCCTAAAACCAACATATTTTAAGAGTCAGAATAAGACAATAAATAAAAAGTATATTGCAATGCCTGCAGTAACCACACTGTTTCAAATGCTTTGAGAAAAGGCACAGCAGAAGAGAAGGAAGTAATTATTTCTGTACAGCTGGGACCTATGCTCCTGCTTTGGAGCCCAGTCACGCAATGTTCTCACTCACATAAACAGTTTCATTTAAGTTAGTGGGCCCAATTCTGCTCCCATTGGAGTCAGTGTCATATCTCCCACCGACTCTCCTGGTGCTGAATGAGGCACTGTTTGAGTTTGGACTTCTCATGTGAGTAAGGTGTCAGGCACTTGGTATGTTAGACTGTGGTGATGTTCTCCAACTGTTTGTCAGTGGGTTTTTTCCTGGCTGGTTATCATCATAATAACAAAATGATACCTTTCCAAACAATGTTCAATTTTAAAGCAAATGTAATCAGAAAAGTGTGGGGGGAGGGGGGAAAGAACTGGAATGAGCTGAACTACTTTCCAGATTCATAAGCAATAAGTATTTAGCACATCATTGTCTCCTCCGCACTCCATATGATATCAATGTAGGCGAAGAGCGAACATGAGCTATCTATAGAAAACAATTTCAGCTGTGAATTCTGCTGCACCTCCATTCTGCATCTCTCTGTTAAAAGGCTATATTTGTATAGCTTATTATACCCTGGGTATCCACTCTGATGACACCCAGAATAAATCCTAGAGGTGTGCAGACAGCAAAGTATTTGGATAAGCTGCCAGCCTCCTGAAGTGTTTTCAGATTAGTTTGAAACAATGTAGTATATTTCTAATAGATCCCCCTCTCTTGTAGTCACTGAGTTCCTAGCCTTGACGTGCACTGTTTCTGGATGCAAATGACTGCCCATAAAATTAAAAACTCTCACACACACAAAACCCTATCAATTTACATGAAAATCCAGAAAATATTTTGCTTTTCTAAAAGGCTTTAAAAATGAATGTGAACTCCCAATCTAATCTAAACCAGAGTCATGTTTTAAAAAGTAATTACTTGTAAACTTTGTATAAGTGCTAATAGTGAGAAACAGTGCCTCTTTTTGACCTTGTGTTGAAATATGGAATTTTCCATACAGAGAAGCTGCTTGCAGTCTAATCACTCTTGCCTTTCACATTGACAAAAATCAAACTCGTTCCACAGCCACTGAGGTGATGCCATCTGGCATGCAATTAGATGCCTGCTCCTGGTCGAGTTATTACTGTATATTATGTTTTGTGTCCATAATTCATCCCATTTACTGCCCAGAAAAAAAATCACAACAGTATTCATCTTACTCCCAATCCCAAAGGACCGGTCCCTTACTCCAAGTCAGTTGCACTTTAGATGTTTGTAGCCAATCCTATAATAAATTAACTAAAGATGTATTAACTAAGAAAAAGAAATGAGAGTTATTTACAAGGTTAAAGCAGGTAAATATACACATACAAATAAGTTATAGTCTTAGGTTCCAAAAGGTAATAGAAGCTGCCTTAATATGCAAGCTCTAGGGATAACCCAGACTAAGCAGCTGGGGATCCCTTGCTTATGCTTAGAAATATTGCCCTCCCAAAGTCCAAGGGGCATAGAGATAAAAATCTCTAACAAGAAAAAATTGTATCTCCCTCTCCCTAAAGTTCAAGCTGATGGGATGAGTTCATGCACATATCTCCTCTTCATGGAGGACTGGAGGAAGGACTTCGTTCTTTGATGTTTCACAATAGGCTCATTTGGTTTCAATGAGCCTTCTTGGTGGGCAGGACCTAAAATCTGCTGTAGGAAGCCAGCATTTTACATTAACTAAAGCTTCTTTCCTGTTGAACTTACACAATTACAGAGGAGTACAATGCAAACACTGTCACCTTATAACATGGGGCACAGATGTTATAAGTGAGATTAATACATGCAGCATCCTCCAAGCATTTCATAAAGTCTAAACACTTAAACACATTCTTATAAACTTAGCATCTCTTCTAACAATACTAACATACTGGTGAGCCAGACTGGTTTCCAGCTATGTATTGGTCAGTGTTCAGTCGAGGTCCTAAGGCTCTTGGCAGAAGTTGGCACCTGGTCTGCCAGCCTCACAGCCACTCTAGAGGCATGTACTTATATCAAGACATAAAAGCATCATATTGAGATTGCCCTGCCTTTAGGAGCCAGATCCTGAGCCCTGCACCAGCTTGAGGAGCTGTGCCAGGGAGATTCATAGAAGAGACAACGAAACCTTGTATGTTGTAGAAACTGAACACAACAATCTGTGGACTGACTGCAGCTTTCCAAGGTCCTAGCTTTTCCCCATCACAGCCCCTCTCACAAGAAAACATAGGCATCTTTTTTACTGATGTACTTTGAAAGCAAAAAAGCAGAATCTATACTGAATGACAATATACAAAACATTAGGGATTAATCTAGTTATATGAATCTTTGCCAGCCCCAAACTGTTTTGGACAGTAGTTCTCAAACACCTATTGTAAATGTGTTACATGGGATTTCAAAAGACAGTTTATCATTTGAATATAGCCTAGTGGCCTTCAGAATGTATATAATTTTATTTCTACTGAATATATGCCTGCTCACTGCTTTTCATTTTAATCCTCATTCTCTCTTTCTCTACCATTATCTTCATATTCTTAAGTTCTAATTCAAGGCCCAGTCCTGAAAACACTATCAGTAGGGCCCTACCAAATTCACGATCCATTCTGGTCAGTTTCACGGTCATAGAATTTTAAAAATAGAAATTTCATGATTTCAGCTATTTAAATCTGAAATTTCACCGTGTTGTAATTGTAGGGGTCCTGACCCAAAAAGGAGTTGTGTGTGGTGGAGGGGTGCTGCAAGGTTATTATAAGGGGGGGTTGTGATACTGCTACCCTTAATGCTGCGCTGCTGCAGGCTGCGACACTGCCTTCAGAGCTGGGCAGCTGGAGAGTGGCGGCTGCTGGCCTGGACCTCAGTTCTGAAGGCAGAACCGCTGCCAGCAGCAGTGCAGAAATAAAGATTTCATGGTATGGTATTGACACCCTTACTTCTGTGCTGCTGCTAGTGGGGCACTGCCTGCAAAGCTGGGCGCCCGACCAATAGCTGCCACTATTCGGCCATCCAGCTCTGAAGGCAGCGCAGAAGTAAGGGTGGCAATACCATGATCCCCTCTAAAATAACCTTGTGACCCCCCTACAACTCCCTTTTGGGTCAGGATCCCCAATTTGAGAAAGTCTGGTCTTTCCTGTGAAATCGGTATAGTATAGGGTAAAAGCACACAAAAGACCAGATTTCACAGGGGGAGACCAGATTTCACGGTCCATGGCACATTTTTCATTAATTTGATAGGGCCCTAATTATCATGGTAGTATTCACTATAGTCAGTCTAAAGAACTCACAGTAGTAATCATTACACCCAATAGTATTTGCAGGAGCAGGCACTTAGATTGTAAATGTTAGGGGCAAGGATCATGGTCTTTTTAATCTCTGTAAAGCATCAGGTAAAATGATGGTGTAATAATAATAATAATTAATACTGGTTTATATAGCAACATAACTTCCTATGTGAACATTTGGGTAAAGTATACATAGGCTTACTGTAAGTATTACATTGATGGTAAACATAGAATTCTGTTTAGTGTGCATACGGCTGTTTAGAGCTCTATCCTGCAGCCCTTACTCATCCAGGATTGGACCCTAAAAGGATTGTAGATGAAAGATTGTTTGAAAGATCATTCTACAGTACACTAGATCTTACTATTTTTGCTAAGTCATTCTATCAAGAAAGGCAGCTTGACTTTTGTATCAAATCAATGGTGCTTAGAGGGGGTTGTTTTTTCTGTTTGATTTAGATGGAGAAACTCCAATCATACTTCAGCCGACAAATGCAAATGAGAAAACTCAACTAATCGGAGATGGCCATCGCAGCTATCACACAGACTCATAAAGCAAGAGCTGACTGCAGTTCGCTCTCTAAGTAGGAATGCCACAAAGAGGGTTCAGAACAGCTAATTGAAAAGCACTGTAATTTTTTCCCATATTTGTATTTGATTTTTAAGTTAGGCAAAGATAATTTGAATGTAATTTCCTGTGGACGCAGACTCTTTAACTCATGGGGCCTTCAAAATGAACAGTCCCATCCTCTGTGTTCTGCCCTGAGATACTTACCGTTAGCATACTGTTATACTGATTAGCCCTTGAAGGGGGTTAACACTTTTGAGCTCAAGCTATCCCTTCAATACAATAATATTCCTCTTTCTCATCTCCCCTTAAATGGAGCTCCCTTTCCTCACCTAAGCAAGGACTTTCCCTGATTAGGGCTTTGAGTCCACTTAAGAAGGCACCAGTTCTGTCATTGTCTGACAATGTAATGTTCTTAGTTTGCCACACAGTTTTAGGGTAGAGACCATTTATAATGCTATTGCTTCCTTTGAGGAAACGATGCAAGTGTTTTCAATAGACAGCAAAGGAACGGTAGGTATCAGAAAGGGTCTGACTTTGCCAAAGAGGGAGTGTTGCATGACAGCACTAGTCTGCCTAGTAGACTGAAGCTTGCTGGGGATGGGACCAGAGCAGTAAAGAAGCTGAGTCAGCTGTTCGCTGATTGGCACAGGGCATGATTACCAACCCCAAGAGCTTAACGGTCAGAAGGCAGTTCAGCCTAAACCCAGGAGACTAATCTCCTAATTGAAATGCACATGATCTCTGTGTCTTGATTCTGTGCATGTGCATTACAGCACCTGCACAGGAGCAGAAGCAGGAGACCGGAAGGAAAATACCACACAGATGTGGATGGTTGATGCTCCCTATTTACCAGTTGTAAGACTTGGCAGCAGCAGCATCTCTCCCTCATCTTGGACTGACCAATTTGAGACACATATCAAAGTTCTGTTGTTGTTTTTTTTTAATTGGGAGTATGCCTGTGACCTCATGCAACCCTTGGCTCCTCAAACTCCCTACCTTTCGGCTCCCTAACTCCTTTGGGATGGGATGGAAGATGACCCTCAGCCGAGTCAACAGACAATTGCCTGCCTGCCTACTTATTCCCCTTACTGATGGCTTTATACTTGTTCTTTCCCAACTGTCCTACTGACATGCAAAAAATGGGCTGAGGGGTGGGGTCAGGAATTGACAGGAAGAGAAGGAGGCAGTCATGCTGAAAGGACAAGAGGTAGCTTCCTGGCAGAGGGAGGCAGAGCAAGATAGAACTTGCTTCTCTTAATAATCTTGCCTTGATCCAGTGACCATTTCTTCCACCCTCTGCTTTGCTACAAGTCTATAATACATGTATTGCACTTCAAATCATATAATTATTACCCAATCAGGTTTAAATTGTATTCCAGAAGCAGGCTTTCTTTGCTTTGTTTAACCAGCACACTGTTGTAAGATATTTCCAGCCCTGATTCCATGGTACTGACACGTCTTAGACATGTAAACCATTCTGTATAGACAAATTTCGGGCAAGTTGTATGTTAATAATAAATGTGTCCTTTAATACACTTAAAGTTCCATTTTAAGTCAAAATATAGTCTTTACTAGCAGTGCTCTGCTGCACAAAACTCTCGTGGTTGAAATTGTAATTTATGAATGTGTAATTTATGAATGTCTCATCAGAGAGACAAGAAAATATTGTATGGTTTTAATTTAAAATCTAGGGTCTGATTCTTCTCTCTTCACTGAAGCAAATGAAGTACATCTCTTTAGAAGGCAATGGATTTATACCAAGGTAAAACTGGAGCAGGTGGGAGGAGAATCAGACCCCTAGTTTGTAAGAGCTAAAGCACTAGCTCAGAAATCTTGAACTTAGCACTGCGCTGGTTTGACATATTAGCTTCGTCCTTCTGCAGTTTATATTCTCCTTACTGAAAATATTCCATCAATTGTTCTGTGTATTTGCTATTGTGGTTCCTCTTTTCACAATTCAGTCTTGGGGAGGATGTAATACGCTACTAAATTATAGAACCCAGGAATATATTGTTTGTCAAAAGTTTAAATGGTTTCTATCTTAAAAATTGGATTCTGTAGTTGTGAAACATTTTCTTCCTCCTCTTCCCACCTTTCACATCAAATGCCATTCAGCTGCAGCTAAACATAAAGCTAAAATCAGTAACTATAATTCCAAAGTCATTAAATACTACCTTCTTTAAAGCTCCTTTAAAGTTCCTATGATACACTGATATTTTAAAACCCCTTAATACTCAGTTAGTATATATCTCCATAAAGCTGTGCAGGTATTATAGCTACTTCTACCCTTGTAATCAGAGATAGTACTCCAATTTACTTCTATCAGGCCCTATGCTACCTGCACATATACAGCACATACTTACTTCCCTTGCTCTAATGCGTCAAGTTCTGTCCCAAGGAATGCACATTCAACTTCAACTGATTTTAGTGGGAGATGTATACGCATGTATCTTATGGATAGAATGCAGCCCACTGTATTTATATACATTCATACATCATCAAACATACACACACACATATCTGTGGGCCTTATGTTCTACTCCTTTACACTGATTTTATGCTGGTGTAACACTACTGAAGCCAATATAAACCCACTGTGCTGGAATGGAGAATCTGGCCCTATACAGATACATATTACACATGCAGTGTAAATGATTTTCTAAGTACACTTTTTCAAATTTATTTCAATAATTTACTGTGAAAGTGTGAAAATGCTAGTGACTGTTTCCTGTATAGAGTTAAATGTGAAAATGTATCCAGTTAAAAGTCTAGATGAAAGTTACACATGGTATATAAAAATCATCTTACAGGTGCTGCTCCCATAGAAATCAATGGGAATTTCACCACTGATTATTGTGGTTGCAGCAAATCAGACCCAAAGGTAATAATTCATTGATTTCAGTGGACTTTGGATCAGGCACTCAGGCCTAGATCTTCAAAGGTATTTATTTTTATTTTTATGTTATTTAAACAAGGGCTAAAGCCCAGACTGGGAGTTAGGCTCCTAAATACCTTTCAAGATCTAGGCCTGAGTGCCTGATCCAAAGTCCACTGAAATCAATGAAAGATTCCCAATGACTTCAAAGGGTTTGGGCTCTTGGCTTAAATCCTGTAATTTTTACTACATTCTTAATGGAGAAAGGATGCCTGAGAAAGAATGTAGGCCCCAATCCCTCATTGTGATCCACACAGACAACTGCTGCATCTGCAGGGTGCCCCACTGTCTTAAGCGGGGCTCTGTCTGCAAGGATCACTATGCACTGTTACAGCCTTTGTTCAAAAAAAACCCCAGCAACTCTGAATACAGGCTTCAGGATAGGTCTCTGAAAGAATGTGGCTTTGCTAAAATGACACTATTAGACTGATAAAATCTATGGTCAACCTTTCTAAAGTTGGTTCCCTAAATCCACATTTAGGCAGTTAAACAAAGGCAATCTGATTTTCAGAGGTGTTGGGCACCTGTAGGTCCCAGTGAAGTCAGAGAGTCTGCTTATCTGAGGACATAATAAAAACTGAATAAGGATGTCCAGATTTGGTCCATAAATATGAATTTAATTTTCTTTTGCTTTTGTTTGCTTTTAGAAGGTGTTCTAAAGTGGAAACAATGATTACATGATTTGCTTCCATGTAAAGTCCTGTTGAAATACTATTAATCTTTTGAAAGCATATAGTTGCAAATATTTTGCTCTATGGTGTTGCATTTATTTGTATGAAAAATACTATGTATTTGAAATCTACCTTTGCTGTCAAACACTCTCTGAATAATAAAGACTCCCTATGTGTAAGAATTACAGCATACCTTTATGTTTCTACCCTAAGAAAAAGTTGTTCTAGTAACAGCCAAAATAACCAATAAGATCCTGATCCATACACAATGTCTATGGTGACTTTCCAAGCTGGTAAATTGGGCTGTAGTCCACGAAAGCTTATGCTCTAATAAATTTGTTAGTCTCTAAGGTGCCACAAGTACTCCTGTTCTTTTTAAAAGAACTTTGTTTTCCCAAGAGGAGCTACTTGGCGGAAAAGTTGGCATGTGGCAAATGAACCTACCCAATGCAGTAAAAACAAAACAAAACAGAACTTCAGCTGCAAATGCCTTCTTTTTTCTACAGTGCAGGATGCTACTTATCTAGATGGGGAAATCTGGCAAATTTCCCACATAGACAATCGCTTAGATTGTTTAAAGTTCTCACCAACACTGTGCATCATGAGGTGTGTTACTCCATCTCTTTCCTGAGTTACTGGTTGTGGGGAGTCAATGGCCCATGCAATAATGCTTGGGATTGGCTGGCAGAATCCCGCAACGTTTTTCTCATGAAAAGAGCCTGAAGAGTCAGGTGGTGAAATCCTGGCTCTATAGAAGTCAATGGCAAAACTCCTATTGTCTTCAGTGAACAAAGGCTTTCACATAGGGAACTCTGCCCTTGTGAAGGTGGCAGCACAAGATGCCAAACATTTCTATGCCTGCTAAAGTGAGGGATTTTTTTCCCCCTACAATGTTACTTAGTCCAATCAAGTGATTGGAAATTACCCGAGCAGCAACTGTTTTGGCTGGATCTATTATATGAGATCTGTTCTATTGAATGTTTGGAGAATGATTCAGACCCAGGGCACACAAAACAGAAAATGGGAGAAATATTTTTAAAGATTAAAATCTAGCAAAAACTTAACCTGCTGTTTAAACTTTTTGTGCACTTTACTCCCCTGTAACATAAATACATAATAAAATAAACTGTTTAATAGGAGACATTTTTCAAACATGCCTGTGGGCTTTAATTTCATTATTTTACCTTTCCTTAAGATTTCATATCCAAGATACTGATGTAATTTTAGTCAAGAATTTTTATGTTTTTTTCCCATTTTCAGAATTAGAGCCATCAAGGAAGATGGAATGACAAAACATATGCACAATTAAATATATACTTGGCATTGCTGATTTATTGTATAAAATTCAAATGAAAAAGCTGTCTGGTGCATTGATGCTAAGTGGCAAGGAAGACCAAAGCGTGGGTGTAGCATCTGTAGTTTTTTTTTTCTCATGAGCTATTAGGTTTGATCTACATCTAACACTTAGGTCAACCCAGGTACGTCGCTCAGGGGTATAAAAAATTTACACCCCTGGCTGAGAAACGTAGTTAAGGAGACTTAAGTCCCAATGTAGCCACATCTAGGTTGTCGGAAGAATTTTTCTATCAACCTAGCTCCTGCCCCTTGAGGGGGTGGAGTTACTACAGTGACAGAAAACCCCTTCTGTTGCTGCAGCAAGTGTCTACACTACAGCAGGGTAGTTGCAACACTGCAGCGCTCGTCATGTAGATATACCCTTAGAGCTCACTTAGTTTAGATTACAACATACTCTTCCACTTTGGGAGGAGATGAACAGATACTCGCTTCCAAAGCTCCTCAGAGTAAGACTGATAGCCATAGAACAAGTAGCTTGTTCATATTTGATGGCCATCTTCAAGGAAGGAATCAAAGAAATGATGATCTGCAGAACTGTTAGTTTTTATGGTTAACAAAGGAAAATCCACCAATAATAACAGAGATAAGAAAACAGAATGTATTATGATAGCACTCACAGTGTGCACGCCCAGACTCTGTCCTGAAGAATTTACTATTAAAGGCCTCAATCCTGCAAGTTATTTTGTGTAGGCAGACTACTGCCTCTGCTGAGTCTCTTTATCTAGACTAGGATTTGAAAGATGTTACCTGACGAGTTAATTAACATTTGTTAGCTAACCCGAGTTCAGAGACTAGAGTAAGCAAGGCACTCTCTCTTGGTCTACACTAGGCTGTTAACAAATTAGCTAATTTAATATACATATTAACACCTTTCAAATCCTAATCGAGATAAAAATACAGAGTTTCCACATAGGTGTAGGAATTTGCCTGGAGCAATTTGCCTATTTTAGCAACACTATTGCTTTTTTTCCTTTCAACAAATTATTAGATTTTGATTTTCACATAAAGGTAGCGCAACATCCATTTTTACCACCACCTTTTTGCTTGTTGATTTGGAGCAGATCCTAGTGAAAGTAGAGCTGGGCCTAAACAAAATCACTGGATCCAAGCTTTCCCACGTTTTACAAAAGTTTGGATTGGGACTGAAATTTGCATTGGGAGTCCATCTGTAATTACAAGTGCTGAGCAGCGTGAAGGTACAAGTTAAATGATATCTGCCTGCCTCTGTGAACAAGAGATCCAAAAATGTCCTTTTCCAGCTCAAAAAAAAAAGCAGTTCTGTCTTATTTTGATAAAATATTTAAAACTATTATCTATTTCCTATAACTTTTCACAAGTATTACATATGTCATATGTTGGAACACAGCGAGTACTGTACTGTACTGTAAGCCGCAACATTAAAACAATGTCCTAAAGCGCAAATAAAGATGGATGGGGAAAAAAATACAAGTCTCCTTCGAGCCGGAATCGAACCAGCGACCTAAGGATTCCCGCAGGCAACTCCTCTACAGTCCTCCGCTCTACCAGCTGAGCTATCGAAGGGACATGAAGCAGCAGGTCCTCAGTAACACACTAGAACTGAGAGAGTCGGTATTAACGTAGCGCGTGCGCAAACCGTTTTGCTAGTGCTACAAGGCGCATGCGCATGGCCGCTGAGCGGGCCTGGTGACCCAGGGCGGTGCGCCAGGTGGTCCAATCTGGACACCCACAGACCCGGGCTGGGCGCTAGTCGCTCCCGGCTGGGGGCCCTGCGCCGAGCCGAGCCGAGCCGAGAGACTGCGGGCTGGGGCGAGACCTACGGCTCCGTGCTTGGCCGCAGGGTGTGTGTGTGTCTGGGAGTCCCGTGACTGGCAGTGCAGTGTGCGTGGCCCCGCGGTGCGGTGTGTGCCCGGGGAAGCCGAGCCCGGCCCCGCGGTGCGGTGTGTGCCCGGGGAAGCCGAGCCCGGCCCCGCGGTGCCGGGTGTGCGCGCCTTGGGGTGTGTTAGTGAGACCGGCCCTTGCTGTGCAGAGTGTGTGTGTCGGGAGGGGGCTGCCTGGTAGTGCAGTTCTGCAGCGGGGGTGGGGCTGTGCTGGACTGTGTGCGAGGGGAGATGATGGGCTTGCCTGGTGCTGCCGTGCAGTTTGGGGGAGGGGCTGTTCATGGCCTTCACAGTGTTGGAGGGGGGGGGCGGAGAAGGGCTGTGCCTTCTCAAGAAGTGCTTCTATCTGCAGGGCTTGGGGGGTGGGGGATAGTCTGGACCTTGCACCACAGTTATGTCCAGGGTGGTTGGGGAGAGAATGGACACCACCAACATCTTTCCTCATCCCTTTACTTGATACTCAGATATTTTTTACTTCCGTCGTGGGCCAGTGGCGCAATGGATAACGCGTCTGACTACGGATCAGAAGATTGTAGGTTCGACTCCTGCCTGGCTCGACAGTGTGTGTTTTGTTCTGTCTGATAAAATTCAGTCTTACAGGCATATTAAAGAATGAGGAGGAAACACATAGTTGTTTGGCTGAACAGCCATGCTACCTTTATGCCTGCATGTCCAACAGAACTCCCAGCTCACAATTGAACAGTGGCCTAAATTAGAACTGGTAAATTGGAATTGCAAGAAATATTCAAGTATTTTTACCCCATTTATAGTTAACCTTTTGAAATAATTACAAATGTGCATTCTTTCAAACAATTAAATTCAGGGATTGCATAATGAGCTGTGAAATGGTGAAAATTTTAAAAGCATACCAAATCCCTCTAGAAAAGTAACTGCCTAAGAGCGGTACTTATTTTTGGGAAATGTAGGGGAAAATATGGGCTTCTTTTAGGTAGCAGTTAAAAAGATACTAACATGGAAACTCTTGGCCTAATAGAAAATGAAAATTAGGAATATGTATTGTTAAAAACAAAAGTATTGCTTTTCAGGGAGCAACGACCTATTAAAGTTCACCTACAAGTGGTGAGTACTGGGTTTCATTTTTTCCCCAGCTATTTTATGAAAATAAATTTTTTTAGGCCAGATCCTAAAAAAGTATAGGTCCATTCATTGACTGATCTTTTATCTGGCCTATCATCTTTAATTAAACAAAGTATAGCGGGAAATAATTAGGTCTGGGAATCCAGTACTGATATTCATATGATAAATTATTTTCCATGATGATGATGTTATACTTTAGAAATATCAGACCATATTATATATTTACTAACCTGCAGTTTACTTTTTCATTCCTAGACCCCCCATTCACTATCTGATCTTTGTTTTATGTTATGAAAATTACTCTAAGAAGTCTAGTTAATATAGAAGTATTTTGCAAATTATTTTTGTTTATTGCCTG